ATTCATATTTTTTTCTCTTATTTTAGACGAGTTGGATGCATAGGTTATATTTTTTAATTTAATTATTTTTTTCTTTTTAGGTAATTTTTCGCTTCTTATATTTAATTATAAGCGATCGATGGTGGCATAGATAAATATGATCTACTTTGTTTCTCGAGAAAATGTAGATTGTAATATTCGGAATGAGAAGCCTACTGTCCTAAATTGATTTAATGTCTATAAAATAATTAATAAATAAATTAATAAGAAAATCTAAATAATAAAAATTAAAAATTAACGAAAAAGCTTATACATTCTTACAAAGTTGAGAAGGCAGCCTCAAAAGCTTCTCTTTGAGGCGATAATTTTGTCGTAAAAAGGATTCTTGTGTAGTTTGCTATTATAGTCAAGCTATATGGAAATTTTTAAATACTAACTTTTTCTATTTGAAATAAATGTAACGTAACGAAAGTATCAAATATAATAGAAATAATCAACATAACAAATAAATAACAATATACAATAGTAATAAATCTAGGAATTATATAAACTAAAACAAATATAAAAACCAAAACTATTATAATTATTTTAGCAAATATAGGTAATTAAGATAATAAATATTGATATTTTTGACAATTTCGCCATCATAAATGCCGATTTCTTGTAACACAGATTTTTGTGCTTGACATTGCGGACATCCCTTTGTATCTATTGATTTGAGGTGCTTTTTAATTGACAATATTTTCCCCTCAATCAAACCTTCATTCATTACCGTATGCGCAATAAGCTTCTATGGTAAATATATGAACGTAATCATCCTTTACTTTTTTCCAATTAACCTCATCAAATATAGTATTCTCTGTATACTTAATTACTATTTTAAGATAAATATTCAACAATAAATAAAATAACAATTAATCATAAAAATCATCATAATAATAATGTTTAATTATAAATTAATAAACTAAGACGTACCTCGTATTTTAACAATTTCAGGAGAACATACGATTTTGTCTTTCCAAAAACTCCAGCACGTATGTGTCCACATTCATACATACTTCTCATTATAATGTAACCTATAACAAGAGACTCCACAATACATTTTTACATTCTACATGAAAATATTATATTATTGTTTATTATCATTTTATTAATAATTACTAATCTATATCTTTTGATTCTTTTCCAATCATATGGTTTGGTGACATGAGAATTCGTAAAAGTAAGCGTTATTTTAATTGGCAAATACTGACTTTTATTATTTCTTTTCGTTATTGCCTTGGAGATACTTACAGCCGATCAAGTTACGATCAACAAATTAATTATTAAGTTTAAAAAAATGGTGTGACAGAGTGGTGGAAAGATATAAAATGACGTGACGAGATAATATTATAATTTATTATCGTTACAAAAGCGCATTTTATAAAAAGAAAAGAAAATATTTTATAAAATGGCTGCCGTATTTTTTTCTGGTTTATCTAAAAACTTTTCTAGCTTAAAGATGCAGATGATTATAATACTATTATCAAAGTTGGAGAAAATCCCAATTCGAAAGAATTTTGTGCGCATTCTAATATCTTGAGAGAGCGTTCTCCTTATTTTAAAATAGCACATTCTAAAGATTGGGTTACAAAGGATATTAACTTTACAAAACAAGGTAATAATTTACTCGTATGTTAATTATATTGCTAATTTGATCTGAATACACAAATTTAAAGTTAGAACATTTATTTTTTCTTTTGATGAGGTTTATATATACCGGCATTCTTGATTCGCGTCAAATAGATGGTTCGGATATCCTTGAACTTTCTTGTAGTATCTGATGAATTGCTAATTGAAGAATTGGTTAAATGTGTTGAAAATCAAGACAAATGGATGCAACAAAATCTCGAAAAAGTTCTTCACACGATATTTAAGCTGACATGCAAAAACTTCTTAATTATTGTTTAGAAACGACTTGTGATGATTTTTTTAATTGGCCAAATTTTCCAACTTTAGAAGAAAGTATTCTATTTTTATTTAATTAAATGGAAAATTGTTCAAACTTCGGAAATAAAAGAAAAAATACCGCTAATTTAGTGGTTGGAATAAAAAGGTCTTCTTGCTTTCCGTTTTTTCGAGATTTTCTTCAAAAGATTTTCATAGTAAGATTTATCCGTATAAGAAAGTGTTTCCTCAAGCACTCTTTGAAGATTTTTTGTCATTTCATATGTCAACACCGAGCCAATTAAAATAAATTGTTTCTTGGTAATAAAAATGTTCCTATTGATTCAATGATCATTAAACCAAAAACATGCGGCTATCCTTGCTAACTGGATTCATGGTAAAGATGTTAATACGAGAATTCCAAAGATAATAAGATTTACTTTTAAATTTATTTATCTTGGAATTAGAGATGGCTATGATACCAATAGTATACGTAATATGTGTAATGCGTTTTGATTATTAAAATGACACAATAATTGGTCGATATAATCCTCTCGGTTTGTGTTACATTTATAATAAAGGTTAGGTTATGATGATGACGATGTATGGAGTAATAATAGTGAAAGCTTTATTTTCATTAGGTGATGGAAACTATTTGAAATTTTATGATTAGTCGAGTTGTAAATGAACGTAATGCAATATATGTATCGAATTATAGAAATATACTATTAAATTCTGGTAATAGTGATTTGGATAACTGACTTTGTAAAATTTTATTATTAGAGTCAAATTTTAGATTCAATTAATTTAACTATCGAAGAAATGGAGATTTTTAGATTTTACAAGCCGAATAATTACGATTTATTACGTGAATAACATTTACAAATAATATCAGAATTATATGTATTTTCTACTTTATTAAAACATCATTGAGATCTTCCTCAAGTTCAAAATGATATACCGTTCCCTTCGGCACGCGAACAAACTTTTAATGTTAAGTCATGTGACACGTAACGTGACTTTAATAGCAAGCTTTATGTTATATCTGAGATTGAGTTATTATCAGTTCGTTAATATTCATTTAACTTCTTTCTTTCTAACAATTAAAATGAAACCAAATAATATATAGAATTTATTATTGCCCGATAACTCACAATTACGACCTAAATCATTTAAAAATTGAAAAGTCATTGATATTTTCAGATTGATAACTTTATTTTAACGAGAATCGAAAATTCTAATATAATATAATTTTAAAAGTAAATGTTTAAATTGTATGAATTCATTGTTAATAATTCAGTAAATAAAATTTTGTTTAATTTTTAAATGCGCAGTCAGACGTTCGTCGCCTCCAAAATTATGCTTTTCAATGAAAAATAGCTACTTTCTTAAAATGATAATATTAGAAAAATCAACAGACCATGCCACATCGTCATCATTCCAGTGTTTGTTGCCGTCTCTTCTAAAGGATTTCTAAGTGGCAACGATGCATCATACTTCGTATCAAATTATAATGATCAAAAAAAATTATTCCTAAATCACGTTCCCCAATGAATATGTTATGATCAAAGCCAAAGTCTAGAACATCTTTAACATATTCATAAGGAGCTGACTTTACATTCATACAATCGTTAAGATTTGATACTTTACAGGGCCTATGGTATACAGAAACTGCAACATGCTGAAGGTTTAATTCACTTGTAAACATTTCAACTATCATGGGTGTATTTTATATATGCACGGCTTTAGCATTTCCGTCCTGATCACATTGATAATGTTGTTGTATAAGTTTACACGTCACCTTGGTTCTTCTTGCAACGCCTCCCACGGGAGATATTCGGAGCAATTTCCCATGGAACTTCGCATTCCTCTGATTCTTCCTCTGTTAGAGTAGAACTCGTGGGACTCATCGATCGAAGCATCTTCAATTCTTCTAACCTCGTCTCTCGAACTTTCTGTTGCTTTGAAAATAGTGCAGATCTCTTATTTATAGCGGTTTCGCAACTTTACGTTTCTTTTTGGTCGTCTATTTTGGCGAAGTTAATTTTATTGACGCTCCGAACATGATCTTGTTCTGTGTCGACTATGTTACATTCATTGTGCTCGGACGGTACTTTTTTCTCGTTTCTTTCTTTCTGATCCATTTGCGCAGAATCTTCAACTCTCGTGTGAGAAACGCCATCTGATTCTCGAGATTCGCCTTCCTGATAGGTAGTTTGATATAGAAGGAGTACAGGGGACAAATTGCGTCCCATGCTGTAATAATTTTGATCATGATTTTCTTGCCCGCAGGTCCGTACGGTAACCTCCTATACGAAATAGTTTTATTAAAATGTTTTGTTGTTTTTCTCTAAATTATATAGATTACTTGATTACCTGAACGGCCTTAGAAAGTCCTTCGATAGTTGTTTCATCCATTTTTCGGCGGGTTTATTTATCCATTTGGAAAACTGAAAAGAGATTATTGTGCAAACTTTCATTTCCTGGGATTAAATGATAAATATGGGAGTACAGTCGTCCCCCTTTATAGTCACACCCTCGGGACTAAAAATAAAAAGTGTGATTATAATAAAAAGTTACTATACAGGGAGATTTTTAATGTTGTTACTAAGTGTTGGTTCTGGAAGGGTGTGACTATAAAAACACTGTGATTATAAAGGGTTTTTTTTATATAGCATTAATAGGTATTGGTTCATACGAAATGTGTGCTTATAATGAGGGATTTATATGACGTGATTGTACAGGGGTGACTATAGAGAGGGACGGCTGTACATTAAATGTGAGCGAATATTTTACAAGTTGTTTCAGGAAATATATATATTCTCAATAGGAAATTCATTATCTGTATTTTGTCAATATCGTTATTATCTCAATTTTTAAAATTTTTAATAAAAAAAAAAACATTTTTATTCTTTATTCATTTTTTTTATTTTCTCATGTAAATAAAATTAACCGTATGTCTTCTATTAATTATGAATGACCGAAGTATCTTGTAAATGAGTGAATTTTCTATGGGCTGAAGTATTTACAAATAGAGTAATACATCTTACCGCAGTATGTGTGAAAAGTATGAGAGGCACAGCACTTTAAAAATAACGGAAAATTTTGCGAATATTTAATTTTAATGTCTAGGAAAAGAATAAATTTCAACTTTCGAGAGAAACGATTGAACAATTAAAAAAAAAGAACATATATTCGCAACAGTTGCGGCACTTCTCAAGCTTTACAGCTACACGTTACTTGAATAGACTGATGTAAATAAATAATTATTAATCAGATTTTTTAATGACATATATTATTTAGTAATTTTCATAATTAATAAATCAACATGAAAATTTATAATATTAAGAATATTCGTATTTATTTATTTAATCATTATTGTTTAACCATTCCTTATATTTTCTATAAAAAAATCTATTTTTAAGAAATCGTTAGTTCCGCGTCATCGGACCACCCGAGTTAATAGAATTTATTTACTACTTGTATTTAGAATAATTGTAAATTATAAAATTCAGAAGAATAACCCTCTTGAATAATGCTTACCTAACACGGTTCATTAGGTAACGCTACTTTCCTTTTTTTTTTATCTTTCAGTAGAATTTTTTCGGGTTCGACCGCAGTGTTCGATAAATTTTATCTTCCTTTTTTTTTTTTTGGATGGATTACGTCTCAGGTAGAGGTTGGAACCGGCCTAAACCTTTAACCGATTAAAATTAACTTAGGCCAGTACTATAAATTTAGCCGGAATTAAACTATATTTTTGCAACCATAAAATCTTAATTCCGGCCGGAAATTGAAATTTCGGCCGAAATTAATTTCATCTATTTTAACCGGTCAACATGTTGACCGTTTTAACCGGTTACCTACTGTAAATGAACCAACACAAAGATGGATCGTTAACCTTTTTACTACTCAGATGTTTTCATCAGCTGTTGAAGTATGAAACTGGCTACAAGAAGAGAAAATCTTGAACTTTTCAACACTTGCTATTCGTCGCTACTTCAAAATAATGGGTTAGTAGTGTTGTATTTAGTTCTTTCGTTTATGTATTTATAAACAATTAGTAATGTAAGAAGAAGGTTTTTAATGAATAATTATTGAATAAAAATAAGTAATTGTGACAAGTATTTATTTAATAATATCAAATTAATCAGTGTTACCTTAACGTCGGCGCTCTACACTTTCGTTATATCAATATTTTAATCTCTATAAATGCCAAATACTAATTCTAATTAATTAAAACTATGCAATTACGAAACTGTTACATAAAGATTGAATAAGAATATACTAATAAAATCAGAAATTAAAATAAAATAATAAACGCTATTACAAATGCGAAATTATAAAATTAAAAGGGCAAAAATTGAAATTATTGTGAAGGTGTAAAAGGAGGATGCGAAGGGAATGATTTTCAAAGAAATATGTTAAAGGCGAGCATGGGATATTGAGCTGTTTTAGGATTTCCAGCTCAATATATATAAAAGAATTTTAATTAAGCCAGCCTGGCATTTTGACCATTCGTCATACTGTCATCTTGACAAACTGGCACCTTGACAAACTGGCGCTGTGACAATCTGGCATCTTAACATCCTGACACTGGTGACAGCCTGGCAAATAATCGTCAAAGGGACTAACTATAATAATCATGAACATTTTTCAAGCGAAGTTATAAAGAATTTGGCCGCGAATTACATTTAATCGTAATAGTAACAACCCTATAAAAAATTTTTTCTGTGATTCGATTCCGTATTTATTCCGTTTATATTAATAAATAAAAAATTCCATTTTTTTCCATAAAGGTCTCATATTGACAGAATTAATATAGGAACTTCATGGAAATTATTTAGCAAATAAAGTTTATACACTTAATCAATAAAACTGATAAATTCCATATAGAATACTGAAAATTATTGAATGAATTTATTAAATAAAAATTGATAAATTCCATATAAAATACTGAATAAAATTATTATATAAAACTAGACCTTTTCACATAACAAATAGAATATATAGAAATCAGTCTTAGATCAGTTAATGAGACCAGTTCTTGTGGTTCTCAGTTCATATTCTGAGGAACAGTTCAGACCAGTCCTTTATTATTTATAGCATATTATTGTAAATTAAGGATTTATTTATAAAATATTACAAAATTAGAGTTAGATCGACCTAGTTTTCATCTTTTTTTTATGGAACAAGTCAATCAATTGACAAATATTATATATGACGAAGAGAAGAAATTGCTAATACTCCTTTTGATGAAATGATCACTTCTAATAAGCTGATCTGTTAATACTGATAGAAGTATTATGGAACAATTTCTAATTAAACCTAACTAAAAATAAAATTAATTTTTAAAATTAAAAAAATTTTTATTTTAATAATATCAATGGGTTTTTCCAACCGTTGAAACTTTCACAATTTTGTCTTTAATAAAAAATTTGGCAAAATATTTCGATGGGTTTCGATTTTGATACCTGTTAAAACCTCTAAGTTTTGCACAACAACCTTATTACAACATATCCTCTTCAAACATATTTAATAAAAGCATATCAGTAAGTTTTTCAATATGTGGATTCTTAATGAAATTACTATTTTAATTATTATAAAAATTTGTAATAAATATGCAATCTACAATATTTATAATAATGATTTGATCAGAATTAATCTAAACTGTATAGCAAGATATGAAGAAAGTTAATCACTCTTACAAAGGATCATAGCTTCTTATTTGTCATTGTTTATATTATATGATATATGACTATGCAGATAATTTTCTTTGTTAGCGATACCCATTTCACAAAAAATTATTTTTTGGTAATTTTTATTATTACATAAATATTTATTGTGTAATGTCAATTTTCAAATATGGAAAAATATCTATATTAAAATATGATCTACATTTTGACTGTTACAATTGATTTTAACCCTCGTAATGTATTTTGACCATCACAATTAATTTTGACTTTGACTTTTAATTTTGACCATAATTTTAAAGTCAAAATATTTTGACTTTTGCATTTTAATTTCAGTTTCATGTTTAATATATATTATTAATATTATATACATGATATTATCCTATTATTTAAAAATGTATTTGCAATTCTAGTTATACAATGTTAGTTATAAATCTTATTATATTTCAGATAATCTTATACTGCAACAAATATCATAAAAATAATACATGTTAAATATGTAATAGATATATTGTTGATTTACTTTATAATATATATATCAAATAGTTTACTTGTATTATAAATATTATATATTCTATTTTTTATTACTTATATTATATTATTTAGTTTTTATAATATATCTCATTTATAATTATCAAAAAATATTATATAATACTAGTTAACAATTTTATTTAAATAAACTTATAAGTTAACTTTGAGTTGACAGTATTTTACTCAGAGATTGAGATATGTTTTAGGACTAGACTTATAAACTTTTTAAATTAAAAAGTTACTAATTTACACTTTTAATTATTTTCATCATAAGATTGATTATAATAACTTATTACACAAGTGAATCATGATTTATTTATTAATCATTAATTTCTCTTAAGAAAGATCTTTAAGATATTGTGATTTTAAGTTATTTATTAGTTTTGTTAGCTTAGTTTCAAGATAATTTCAGGTCTAACAATGGTATAAATATAAATGAATTGTAACTTAAATATTTATAAGAATTAATTTAATGATCATATATTATAATAAATTTTATTTATTTATAAATATCTTATATTTATTATTCAATAATACTTAAAATTAAAATTATTCATAATTAATTATATTTATCTAAATGCAAATTATTTTATTAAAGATATTTTATTAAAACAACAAATATTGCTATCTAGAAAATGAATAATTTATTAAAAAAATAAAAAATATAAGCAAATTAATGCTAATTTAAGCAAATAATTTGTTTCTTCACTTATATTTATTATTTTTTTTCATTTTCATTTTCATTTTTTTTAATTATATATTACCCTATAATAAATTACCAGATTTATAAATTTTACTTAGTAATATATAGTAAAATTGAAGATTTTCAGATTGCAAATTTTTAATAAAAGTCATCTGATTTTTTTTTATTTGATAGCTGATCAATTATAGTTTTTAGATATTAAAATGAAAAAGAAAAATTTTCAAATATGAAAAATTTTCTCATATTGAAGTATAAGCAATAATTTTTTATGTTTTTGCATTTTTATATATAAAATTGTGTTGTCTATTACTTTACAAATAAGTATTTTATAAATAAAATATTTTGAATTATATTTTTAAAATTATAATTGATTGGTTATTAAATAAAAAAATTTAGAATATATTTATTAAAAATTCATAAACTTTTATGCAATCTGAAAATCTTCAATTTTACTATATTACTAAGTAAAATTATCTTAAATTAATTTCATTTTATTTAAGCTTTAATTTTCTTTTTGTTAATGTAATCTTTCATTTTTCAATTTCAATTAAATTAATTTCTATTAGATTATCATCTTTTTCATCATAATAATTATTATCTTATTTTTTTATAAGCACAGGACTTTTTTAATTAAGGAATTTTTTTGATCTTTTGGGTAACTTTTCGACTAATAATTTATTTAATTTAAGTTTAATACATAATAAATAATAAATATGCAATTAAATTATAATTTATTTTACCTATTTTTCGATTTGCTTAAACTTTTTTTCCATATCACTTTTAACTTTACTTGACATAGGAACTCATGTCTATTGATATATTTGAATTCTTTTATAAATACATTCATCATGTTTCAATCCTAAAATATAAATATTAAAAGTTATTAATATTATTAATATTACTAATATAATAATAATGAATATTATCTTAAAATTTCTATTTTTAATTTTAATGACTCTTCTGTTTGATTAATAATTGCATATGCATTTTGCAACATTTGTATCAAATAGTATAGTCATCTAATATTCATATGGCATTAAGAAATAACTGTATGTTAAAGAGCCAATAGCCTATAGTATTTGATAAAAAGCTAGCCAATCTAAAATTATAATTTATTAAAACTGCGCAATTACGAATAATTAAGTAATAAATAATAAGAAAAGCTAGGAATTAAAAAATAAACAAAGTTACAAATTTGAAAATTATAATTTTAAAACGGCGAAAGTGAAAATATCGCGGTATTATTATAAAAATTTAAATTTTAACTGATTAAAAAAAATTGATTATTGATATTGTATTAAAATAAATTATTGTTTTGTATTTAAATTATTTTTTTTTTTTATTTTTAATGTAGAATGCTTTTTTTTTTATTTAATTGAAATATTTCTGGTAATCTTGCAGATTTTACCCGCAATACGAATCTGCAAAATCGGAAATATACTTCAACCGGTTTAATGGTTTTAGATTAGGCCTAAAACCGGTTTCAATCTTGTCAAAAGGCGTTATTATTTTTTTATTTTGACTAGTAACGATATTTACATTAGCTTCATTAATCGATTTTTTATTCTTTCCTTATATGGCCAAGTATAGGATGCAAGTGACATCAACATGGGAAAAAATTATTTAACCGGATAATATCCGGTTAAAAGATTCGTTAACTGGATAATTACCGGTTGCTTAGAAACTTGATTAACGTTGAACAGTTAGAAGAAAAAGTGCAAAAAAATACTTTAAATTCAATTCAAATCGCATAAGTATCTTAGCAGTACTCAACTATCACCACAAATTTACAAAAAGGCTTATCAATCGATTTTTCTTTTCTTTCTTATTTAGTTTAAACCGCTTTATTTCTTTTTTTCCTTATTACGATTCAAAAAAATGGGTAATCAATCCTCCAAGTCTGATGATCAAAAAGCAAAAACAGCTACTAGTGTTGGAATTGGCGTTGGTCTCGTGATAACCAGTGTCATTTGTCCTCCTTTAGGAGCAGCAGCTACGTTTTCCACCCTTGGCACGGGAATAGGAATGAAAGTAGTTGGAAGTTTGGCAGATGAGGAGGGTTTAGAAGAAGCAGGAGATGTTTTTATTTTAGGAGCAGAAATAGGAGGAGTAGGAAACACAGCAACCCGAGCTGTCCAAGGATCACATGCTCCATGCGGTGGTTGTAAAAGTCTTCCCAAAGCATTCAAATAAAGTAAGTAAAATTATAAAATAATGTGTTGTTACTTATGTTAAAAAGTCTATTAATAATCAAAAACCAAAAAAATATAGGTTGCGTTGGATTTTTCCTATTTTTTTTTAAAATTTGCTTTTTACTTGGTCGCCTAGTTATTTTTTTTTATATCTTTTTTTAAATAGTTGAATATTTTTTTTTCTTCCTCTGGTTTTAGAGAAAGATTTTTTTCGATCATGGACTTTTCAACTATTTCTTTTTTTATCTCTTGTAGTTAGTTTTAACTAACTTTCTTTTCGTTTACTTCTTTTCATTTTATTTTTCTCTGTCTTTTTAAGTGACAAAATTGAGCCTTTGTTAGTAAAGTGAAATAAATGCTTTGAACTCAATAAAAGTTAACTTTGTTTTTTAACTAAGAAATTAATTTCTTGGTAAAATAATAATTCAGAAATGCTTGTGTTCAGTTCGGAGTATAGGTTCGAATGGTTAGGAAGCGATTTTAGTTCGGAAAAGTTAGTTCGGAATTGGACTTAGATTTTTTTAGCAAAAACTTTTAAAATTAACTTAATAAAAAGCGGAAAATATTTCGCATAATGTAATAGAACCTTACGGAATATTAAGGTATAAAAAGCCTAGAAAATGATTTGATAAGAATGAAAATTTAAAAGCTTGTAGCTTTTATCAAGCAGAAATATCTCGTTGCGAAACCTTACTTAATAACGAGGGATTTATCAAAAATGCTTCTCATGAAATAGTTAATAAAGAAAAGAAAAATTAAACTACTATCGAGAGCAATTTAATCTCTTGAAAGAGGGCAAAAAGAACATTTAAACTTGTATTGCAAAAGAGAAATAACAACTTATTATCAGAGAAAACAAACAGTCTTGGCAAGAATATTATCAGAAAACTAAAGCTTCTCGGAAAGAACCTCGCTGTACTAATTGTCTCATTTGTTCACAAAAAATCAGCGAAGAAAGAAATAAAACCAATGTAGCTATAACATGTACGTTAGGCCGGGAAAAAAAATTTTTTAGATTCTCGCCTCAATTTTTACAAAAACTCAATTTTTTTTTTTTATAGTAAAATTTTTTATCACGTGACTTTATATAATGAAAAATCGTAATAGCATATACTTTATTATAAAAAAATTTAACATACTATTTTCGTGATTTTTTTGTTATTTGAAACTTGATATTCTTATCACGTTTTTTATTGTCAAAAACTGTCATATAACGCTCACTACAATAATAGTAATATCCTTCATTTACTATTTGCGTAATACAAAACATAATATAATATACATATAAAAAAAATTTATATATAAAAAAAAAGGGTGACCGTGTCAATTTTAAAATTTTAAATCACGAGAATCTAAAAATTTTTTTTGCCCGGCCTTTACATATTTTTTTTCTCCAAGAATTTTTTTAATATTTCTGCTATAAACAAAAATTAAAAAATCAAAATGCAAGATGCCAATAATTCGAATGAGTCTGTTAATTGGATTAAAGATGCAATCTCAAGAAATCATATTAAATACTACGAATACAAACATTTAGCAATGTTCAAATTATTGGTAATGGCAGCTTTGGAAAAGTATATCTTGCAAATTGGAAAACTCAATACAACCTCTCGCGTTAAAATCGTTTCATAATTTTAACAACGCCACTGTTAAAGAAATTGTTAGTGAGGTAATTATAAAATATACGTTTCAGCTCTTTTCAGTTTATTTAGTATAAAATCATCAAGCTAAAATTTATATTTGTTATAATTTAGCTCGAACTTCAACGTGAAGTTAATTTTCATGATAATATTATTCGCTTTTATGGGATAACTTCAAAATAAAGTATGTAATGTTCATAATATTGACATTTTTATTTCTATTTATATTAATTTTAACTCGTTTATAAATAATTAAAAAATAAAAAAAAAATAACTTAGAAAATCAAATTGTTCAATTGAAAAAGTATTGGTTAGTAATGGAATATGCCGATGGCGGTGCACTTGGCAACTATTTGAAAAATAATTTTGGTAAGCTTACTTGGAATGATTACACAAAGAAGGAATTGTACATCGTGATTTGGTAATATTCATAATATATATCTTATATTGTTTATTATTCCAGTTAAGAATTAAAAATTAATTTTACATAAAATAGCATTCCGGAAATATATTAATTCGTCAAGGTGTTATTAAACTTGCTGATTTTGGATTATCGAAAAGAATTGAAACGGCAACTAACAACAATCAAAGTCTTTGGTGTAATTCCTTACATTGATCCAATAATATTTGGTAGTCGAAAAGGAAGTGACAGTTCTCTAACCGAGAAAAATTACGTTTACAGTGTTGGCGTGCTGTTTTGGGAGATTTCAAGTGGACGTCCTCTTTTTCATGTTGAAGATAAACCATATAATATTGATTTAGTTATAAAATTTCACAGGGACTCAGAGAAAGTATCATTCCTGGCACTCCTGAAGATTTTGTTAAAATTTATTCAGGTAATATATTATTATAAATTTAAATTTAAAAAATATGTTTTCGATCATTAAATTGTTATATTGATTTTAGAGTGCTGGAACGACGAGCCTGATAATCGACCGACTATTAATAAAGTAGTTGATAAAATAAATGGAATTATTACAAATCTAAATATAATAGAGAATGATCAAATTAATAATAAAGAATCAACCCCTCAATCATCAGAACAAATTTATTTTAGTATGAAAAATTCATTACATGAGGACTTATCCTAATTGAAGCAAAATTTTAATCAAATGAATGTAGAAGAAGTAGGATCGAATTATGAAAATTCCGTCATGATTTACGATGATTCTATTGATAGATTAACAATTACGGAACTTAACTGGGATATGTTAAACTCCTTAGGAGGATTACAAAAATATCGAAAATTAAAAGAACTCGACTGTAATAATACTTAGATAACCAGCTTACCAAAGTTACCCGACTCCTTAACGGAACTCTATTGTTATCAAACTCAAATAAATATCCAAACTCCTTAACAATACTCAATTGTAGCAATGCTGAAATAAAAAGCTTAACCATCTTTACCAAACTCCTTAAAAAATCTCTGGTGTTACGATACACAAATAAGTAGATTACCAAATTTACCCAACTCCTTAACAATACTCAATTGTAGTATTACACAAATAAATAGCTTACCAAATTTACCAAACTCCTTAACATTACTCAATTGTAGTAACGTTAGCTTCCAGTTCATAAAAAGAAAAGAACGTTTTGTTAAAAAAATTATTTTTGACCCTCCAAAAATTTGTTTTTAAATAAGTTAACCGTCAAATTTTGCAAATTTTGTAAATTGAAATCAACTCTAACATCAAAATCCGTCGAACTTTTCGACTTTTACCAAAATCGGATTAGGGGTTTGCCCACAAACCGCTAATTTGCAAATTTTTTGTAACGTTTCCCTCAGAATTTGCTAAATATTTCCTTGATTTTTACCAGTCTTCGATACGATTGAGGTCGGCATCCTGTAATAATTCTTCGAGTAAAATTCTTCATGCAGAGTTCAAAATTCGTTTTTTAGAAATTCGAACAATTCGCATATTGGTAAATGAAAATGTCCCCATTATTAACGCATGATACTAAAAAGAAATTCTTTCTTTTAAAAGAGCTCCTTTGGGTAATTCTGGGTACTGATGGTGGTGAATAACCTTAACTCGTTATACCATATATACGTATAGCAATGCAATAAAGAAAATGAAGAAAAATCACTAGATATAAATACTTAATCACTTTACAGCAGTTTTATCAATAGGTATTCCGTCTTACGATATAAATGAATAAAAAAGTGTTAAAATTATATAAAAAACACTGAAAAAAAAATCTAAAACTTTATATAGAAACCAAATATTAGACATATAGCTGTTCATTTACAACTATTAATTATAATTAATCAACGTATTGTATAGTGAGAGTGAGTATAAAATATATAGAATATACCGGACAAACAAATAGAAAGGTTTCTAGATATAATATTGTGTAGAAACTAGCAGAGTAAACGATCCGTACGTTCAGTTTGTCTATTTATCAATATTAGAATTTTCCGAAAAATTTTACATTGATATTGTTGTATTCAGTTCTTTCGTTTATGTATTTATAAACAATTTTAAATGTAAGCAGAAGGTTTTTTATTGAGTAAAAATGAAGTAACAATGACAGAATATTTATTTAATATTATCAAATTAATCAGTGTTACCTCAACGTCAATATTTTAAACTCTATATATGCCAAGTACTAAATTCTAATTAATTAAAACTGCGCAAATTACGAAACTATTACATAATAGTTGAATTATAAAAAATAATAAATCGGAAATTAAAAATTAAAAACAATAAACGAAATTACAAATGCGAGATTATAAAGTTAAAATAAAACGGCGAAATCGAAATTATCGCAAAGGTTTAAAGAGGAAGATTTCGAAGGGAATGTATTATAGGATTTCCAGCTCGGTATATTTATAAAAAAAAAAATTAAGCCAGCCTGGCATCTTGAACATTTGTCATGACAACCTGGCACCGTGACAGCCTGGCAAATGATCATCAAAAAGACTAACTGTAAATATCAATCGTAATAATATTCTAAAGTTTACTAAAATTTACTGCAAATGTCACATTTAAAAATTTAGTATTTAGATGATACTTTCTTCGGTAAGAATTTATTTATAATGTAGAAGATTTTTTTTTTTTTGCGTTTGATTTCTGTTTTACTATGACAAGTAAAATTTTTCTTTTTCTTTATTTTAAAAAAAAAAAAATCATACTTGTGAATATTATGAAAAATACACGTAATTTGTTGTATTGTTTTTTTCATATTTATTTTTGTTAAATATATAAATATGTAAATTCATAAAAATAAAATATAAAAATAATTTTATAATGTTTCGAGCTGAATTTAGAATTTATTGTTTTTTAATAATAGGACAAATTGTTTTTAATAAAGCATCAATTGGCATTACACGAATGTGTCAAAAAAAGTTTATTAGATA